CATCGACGTCGCCCTGAGGAATATGCTGGACGCGGCCACGGACTCGACCAAACAGGACATCGAGATACGGCACACGACTTACGACACGCTCAAGCAAAAGATGGACGAGAACGCGGCCGTGCACGCGGCCATGTTCGCGTGAACCCTACCTCCCCCCCCTCCTTTATGTGACCTCTGGGAACAGCCTTTGTTAAACTGGAGTCAAAGAGCGATTAATTATTGTATTTTTTTTTTATATATATAAATATAATATTTTTTTGTAATAAAACTCATGTGACACTGGACGAACTCTTGCGAAAACTCCAACGCTTAAGAGTAGTATTGGTTTTAAAATCGAAAGTACTATACTATTACTGTACAACGTAGAATTGCTATGACCAACATTTGTATACAATTTTAAATTAAAAAAAAAATACACACAGCAAATTATAATGTAGCAGCAACCTTTTTGTTTAATTACCTAGGCTCGAGTCCCGTTGACCATCACATGTACATATTATAATAGTGTATATATTATATTTACTCGATTCTATGTATACCTACTTCTCTGATATGTATTTCGAAAATAAAAATGTTATAAAAAACAAAAACATCTATGCCAAACATTTAGACATGTACCTTACTGGCCCCGAAGCTTAGAAAGTAGAAACCACTTTTCAAAACCTCTACCAATGTGTAAGCCTGCTGAAGTCTACAATTGGGTCAACAGATAGTTATGACGATTCCTTAAATACTTCAGATTTAGAATTATATATGAATACAACAGATTATAAGACATCTGATATCTCGATTTACTCCCGAGGTATTATTATTATTCACTTGATTATTAAAACATTTGTATTTTTAATTATATATTTTTGTGATATTCATCTAATTAATTTAACATAGCTGATTCGCATTATGTCGCAAGAGTTATCAGATGAAGAAGTGGACAATTATTGTGAAGGTGATGGTGACAATGACCTCAGTGAAAAAATTATTGAAACTTATAATTTTCAAAATTTCAACAGTTTACACGAGCATTCATTTGGCCGATTATTTGCTTCAAAAACAAATAACTTTTGTTGGTACGCTCAAGAAAAACAAAAGATAAATTATTCATGTGATATTTTAATCCGCGAAAGCTTCAACACATTCATAAGAGATAAATTCCTTCAGTTTATTTTAAAATCGCTTAAAAATGTTTGCCCCTCTTATCTCCAAAAAAATAGCACGAAAAAATGTATGAACCCATCGAATAAGGTGTAGGTTGAACAAAAACCATCAGAATTTCATCATGCTATTTTAATGCTAATTCGTAATAAATCTAGTAACTATATTTATGGACTTACATATTAGAAATATTTCCAGAACGTATACACAACGTTTGTATCTTCGTAACTTTCGTTCAATAACACGGCTAATTAAGTTGAAATATTTAAAAAAAATATATTATTTAAATCATTTTATTTTTACATTTTAGGTGTTTTTAAAAAATTACACTTATATTTTTTAAAAAAAAAGAAAAAAAATGATGATTCCTAAAATTTTTCCGACTCTTACCCCCCTGGAGGGGGGACTCATTCTGACTTAATCTAAGGTTGAAAATGAACCGTGTTTTCCAAACCATTTGTCCCCTATATAACCATGGCCTGAACAGCTAACATCGGATTCCATGGTAACGTTTCGGTCTAGTTTCCAACAGCGACAGTTAGCCTACGAGTACACTTACATAGTTGTATTTATACGTAATTTACATTGTACTCGGGACATTATGTTTCGGTTGTCCAATATGTTTCACAGTGCTATCATCTTCAACAAAAAACCAGAAACCCCGAATTCGGGTCATACGAAATCCGTTCCGCTCGCGACGCCCACGAACACAGATGCCCCGGCGACCCCGGCCCCGGCGCCTGAGGCCGGGGCGCCTGCAACCGCGGTTACGACAGGCTTGGCGGCGTCCATGAACACGGACGCGGCGGCCACGTTGCTGGGGAAGAAGTCGAAAGCGTTGTGTTCTAGTTTCGAGCGGTCCCGGAGCGGATTGCCCACGTACCACCCGGGCAAGTGTCTGGACCTGTTCAACTTCTGCGAGGACGTGATGCCAGTGAACTTCGACGGGTTCAGGGCGCAAGCGGTGCTCCGGGTGCCGAACTCGTGCACCGGCTCCTCCGAGATTGTGAACACGCACACGTTCAACGTGAGCTCCACCAAACCCGGCCCGTATTGGCTGTCCTTGTTTTACAAACGGCCGGCGGACACGTGGTGCACGTTGATGACGTGCGACGCCGACCCGCTGGCCGGCAACTGGAACGCCGAGGTGGGTTCGACCAGCCAACGTGTGGACATGTCTGTCACGATGCAGACCCGACGGTGGGCTTTTCCCGTCACGGCCAAGCTGCGGCTCAACTACAAGGTCCCGAAACGAACCGTGTCGCTGTTCGCCGATCCGGTGCGGTCCGACTACGGCATACAATATTTCCAAGTACGCAAACAGTAGCGCATGAATGGGGAAAATCGACCAAAAGAATTTGTCCAATTGTATTTCGAGTTCTAAATTTTAAGATTTCAACTTCTTTTTAGAGGATGCTTTGGCATGTAGACTTTGATGGAGCTTTTGAAAGAATTGAAAATTCCAATTTAGAAATCGAAAAGTTCCTAACATTAAATTTTCGACTACAACTTTAAAAGTTTAAATACGATAAAAGTCTTAAAACAATTTGGTATTCACGAACACCCTTAGTAGCACTGCCAAGATGAGAAGCTCTAATTGACGCCGGTAAAATAACGGGAGGTTTCCATTAGCTTCCCAATTTCCTGGTGCTATTATGGGGACAATTCTCGAACCCGTTTCTTAATTCTAATGTAACTGTTTTTTTTATGATATCCTTGACCTTTTTTTAAAATTTGTTTTTTTTTTTTTTACTAAAAAGTGCTATATTTAAGACACTATAACTATTTCCTAAAATGGAAAGACAATGTTTTGGAGCAATCCGTTTCTCTCGGCTTGCTCTGGTTTAACTAATTATTACTACTGTGCTTTTTCGTCATTAGGCGATGACGGAGCGGTTAGCGTTGGGTTTTGAGCTGGTGTGGTTGCACGCCAGCACGTTGGACCCACGTAGACCCTGTGCCGACGACCGCAGTATCTTATCAACCTTCGGGCCGCGTCTTTTGGCCAAGTACAGCGGGCCCGATTACATAATGAGCGGCCGGGTTGACTTAACGGCGTTCAACACGGGCTTGAAGCTCGGCTACTACCGACACTGCTCTGATGTTTTCCAGACCGGAATTACCATGCGGTGGAACGTGCCCAAAAGGGAGGCCGAGACCAAACTGGGATTTCGGGCACTGGTTGGCAACCAAAATATACTCAAGGCCGCGGTCAGCACCGAAGGCATTGTCAGCAGTCAAGTGGAGACGCGACTCACTGATCGAATAGCGTTGTCGTTCAGTTTTTTGCTCAACGTCAGGACCAACCGGTACGGGATCGGCGCCGGGCTGGCGTTCGAATGACACTCTAGGCCACGCGTTATCTGCTTTCCTACGCGGTGTCCTTGGTTAAAGTGGTGGTGCTTTATCGTTGAAATCAAAGAACCCGCCGCCACACAACCTATTACGAACAACACTATTTCCTTTTCTTTATTTTTTTTTGTTTACAAGGTTAACTATAGTATTGTTTTCTTAATAAAAACGTATGAACTGAAATATTATGACAATATATTTGGTCCGGTGTACAATGCTGTAACATATTATCTATCTATTATTTTTTGCAATTATTTTTCTTTTTTTAGCTCCCACCCTAAAATTTTATTGTAAACGCCAAAAAAAAATTCCCTGAAAATATGAGCCCTTAATATTAAGTACTCTCTTATAATGTGAGAAGATTTCCCATTTAAATAACATGTAAATTTAGATTTTTTTTTTGTAAATTTCTATAACTCATGGGCATTTTATGCTATCATATCGTTCAAGGCCGCAAATTACTGATAATTAAGCGCTCTACAAATATCATCATCTACCATTCGAGTACCGTGGTCACCGTTGTCACAAACCAAGTGTTTATTTTGGGTTAACAACGAAAAATATTTCGAATAGTATCAAGGCTTTGAAATCGAGGCGGAAAAAAAGAGCAAGACATACAAATGTATCCCGTGGTGGTTGCGGACTCGTCGCAAGCTGTTACCCCAGATTTTCAATAATTTACTTGAATTTCATTCAGTCTAAATATAACTAAATTTGAAAAAAATGATTTTCAGACATTGCTGAACAAAATAAAATGAAAAAAAGTATTGCTGGGTTGATTGATATTTGGGATTACGCTTGCAATACGTAATTTTTTTTAAATTAATATTATCTATCTAAAACCGTAATTATTTATAAAGGTAGGCATTTAAAAATTCAGTTAGTGTTGATATTTGGAAGGGAGGAAGTTCAAAAAAAGTTTTTAACATTTTTTTTTTTTTTGTAAAATTCAATTGGTTTATGAGTAAATATATATTTTTAGTAATACATTTATTGTTTGTATCAAAATAGCAAAATTGTGTACTACAAATACCTAAAGCGACTTTAAATAATTTTATAGTAAAAATAAATAGATCTGTAAAAAATTCGCTACTTACAAAAAGTTTTATTAAATATAAAATTGTATTTATTTAAAGTACGTGTTTTAATAAATTTTGTAAGTTTTATTTTATAAAATTCGATATTACAAACGACGCTTATAAAACAAATTGAGGCTTGTGACACACTGTGTTTATAATATTAAATATTATTTTAAGTTACCCTATCCTATGGTTCATAAAATTGGTAATGCAAATTAGTTTTTTTTTTTGACCTAACAACTGAGTAATTTGTATGGAATGAAATAAAATTATTAAACTAATATCACTGTAGAAACCAAATATAATTTTTTTCGTAATATGTATTCACAGTACAAAACTGCTTTTTTATAATATTAAAAGATTGTTTTTCTTACCATTTTTCTTTTTATATACAAAAGGTCTCTATATACGAGCGATATGGATTTCTATACAGTAGATGCTGAAGACTTAAATGAGTTTATGGTCCGCAAAATAAAGAACACAGCTAACGAAACGAAAAACAATAATTGTAAACAAGAAATCTGTCATTCAATAGGTGATTATAAAATAGATCAATAAACACGCATTTCAGATAATTACAGCTATTTTATGTGAATAAAATAAAACCTATTAAAAAAAGAAAAATCTGTCAGAATTTGTAATTAAAAATTAAAAAGATTTAATAAGTTACATAAGGTTATTCTGTTTTGCTGATTGTACAATTATATTCCAGAAAATATTAAACGCGTTGCTTATTTTATTTTAATTATGGAATAATCTTTAGATTTTGGGTATGTGACGAAAATATGCTTTAAAGAAACTCTGGACATTATTGATGCAGACGGACGAATCATAGGCGAATTTACTGCTAAAATACGAGAGTCATACTCCGATTTAGCTTCTAGATCGTTGATCATTAGTGTACATTCGTCGAAAATGTACGAAGGTAACAAAGACATCGAAATGAGTCTTATAACTAATTGCACTATTGATTTCCATACATTCGAGGAAAAATGGTCACAGTATGAATTTTTGCTACTATTAATACATACATTTACATGTTAACGAAGTTGAGTTGCATATATCTAATGGAATATAGGTACAAAATAATAGTGCATGGTTTTTATACTTAACAGATTATCAAAGAATCAGTGTAAAACACTAATGATCTCGCGTAGCAGTAATGAAAAAACGATTAACGTTAACGTAACATCGAATAACGATGAACTTTTGGATCAGAAGCGAATTATTCCTATAGAATTTACTGAGGTTGATATTAATATCTATTTGTATCTGGGTTTTATAAAAAAAAAATTTCATTACATTTCTGATCATTTTATAATACTTGTGGACATGTAACGTCTTCTACCTAACTACTGATAGAATGTTAAATCCAATTCCATTTTAATTTGATTAATTAAAATAAAATTTATGACCGTTGTTTGTCTTCTTATCATTTCAAAACCACAAAAACTATCAAACTGGCTGTCTGCATCGGACGCTACCATTCTTACAGTGTATACATTTCTCTTAGTCCAGTTAACAATTGGTACAATATTAATTAGGATAGTCATTAGGATAAATTTTTCGCCTAAATGATTAGACCTAATCTATGGGTACTGATAAAAGAGTACTGATTTTAATTTAATATTTTTGTTTTACAAAATGTGTACAGAAAATGTTAACTGAGGGAATGAATGTTGCATACATGCGTTACTTGGCCATTATCGGATACAATGGTACGATACACAACAAGGCCGCTATTTCTATAAACGGGAAACTTTACAAGGCGATCTACGTAAAATTCTATAGTTTTATATTTACATATGTTATTTTACAATACCAACAATCAACATTGATTGACATAGGCCTAAGTCTTAGATCATTATTACAATACTAATGATCTAAGGTGTAAATACCTACGTTTCATATGCGATTATAATATGATATATCTTGTTCCTAAAGGTGTGTTCCTCGGAAGATTCGCACCAAATCAATAGTGTATGCATTCCTGTGTACATTATTAAAAGAACGTTATACAGAGATGGAATGCCGCAATCACAAAACATTGACATGACATCGGTATTAAGTCGTGCGGGTTATTTGCTGGAGCATTCTTGGAACATGCATGAAAGTAGCAGGAAAATGAAGATTCCAAAGTCATTGGTAGTAATGGATAACGGTGAAATGTGCATGGATTCTTTAATTAACTTAAGAAACAACTGGGAAAGAGATATTCGATTTAAATCTCTGTACTTGGATAAAGTAGTAAGTTTGAAACCATAAACAATCACTACAATTGATATAAATTGCAATATGTATCTAATTAAAATTTGTTAAACTCTTTTTGTGACTATTAAGACGGAAATCAAATCACAGTACAATAGTTACTTGAAAAATAACGTGCTAGTGAAAGAAATGATAGTCGATTATATAAAGGAAGTATTGTCGATTAAACCCGAAAACGTGTTGAAATTTTCTATAGAATATTTTGAAAACATACAAGAAAAGTGATAACTCCATTAATGGCGTAAAAAAACTGGCGATGAAACAAGCTAATTTCAGAAAACTTTTGTATTTTTTGTATATTAAAGGTTATACATACAGATAGTTGTTATCAAAATATGATATTTTAGTTTTTTTTTTTTTTTTTAGAGTCAATAATTCCTCTCTTCTTGTTATAAGACGTGTAACAATTCAAAAATCACAATCTATCATTTAGATCTTATAATGAATTATATTATCGACCCCGTCGTACGTCGATAGCAACAAGAACTAGACATTAATGACACTGTTCTTTTTTTTTTTATATATTATATGGAGAAGCGGTTCTGTACCTACCTATGGTCGGAAACCGCGACAGCTTATACACGACGTCTACTTACGTCTCGACGTTAATTGTTAACATTTATTATCAACAGACAGTACTTTTAACGAAGTTCATTAGCTCTCATATTTTAAATTGATATTCATATCACATGATCATTATTATAATATCATGCCCAAAATTTATTTCATTAAATATTTCGAGGTATGTATAAAATATCCACAGTAAAGTGCAAAGTATTGTTTAATATTTATTGTACAACATCAAACATTAGTAATTTCGCTTAATAAAGATATTTTCAAAAAGCACGAGCAGTATGGTACTGTATCCCCACTGCAGTTAAGTGTAAATAACAATAATGTTGTAGAGGCACCCTATCGTGAACTTATTGGAGGGCTAATATATTTGGCAACTCATACTAGGCCAGATATTTGTTATGGAGTATGTATATTGGCAAGATTTCAATCTAATCCATCTAGTGAACATTGGAGACAATTGAAGAGTTTTAAGATACCTCAAAGGAACTATCAGTTTGAAATTAACATATAGAAGAAATAACACTGATCTTCTATTAGGTTACAGTGATGCTGATTTTGGTAGTGATTTGGAGGACCGGAAATCAACTTCAGGTTTTTTATTTTAAATATATGGATCAACAGTTAGTTGGACAACAAAGTATAGTCCCATTATCCTCAACAGAAGCAGAATTTACGTCTATGGCGCTGGCAGTATGTGAATGTATATGCCTGAGAGGATTACTATCAGAATGGGATGCAAGATAGATGGACCTACAGTGTTATTCGAAGATAATCAAGCTTGTATAAGTCTTGTTCATGAACCAAGGACTCACTAGCGTCTCAAACATATTGATATAAAATATCAATTCATCAAAGAACACATTGGAAATAAAGAAGTGATATTAAAATACATTCCCACTAATAATCAAATAGCTGATTCACTTACTAAATCATTACCAATTGTAAAATTTGAATACATGAGGAGAAACATGGGAATTGAATAACTTAAATATTTAAATTACTTATATTATATTTATTTAATTATCTATTTCTTGTTTAAATTATTAATTATTGTTATTTATAAATATTTTATTTTATTTATATGTATAAATTGGGGAGAAGTATTGATTTTATTGTTATCAATTAATGTGTTAGTATTTTGTTATCATCTAACTTCAGTAGCATGTAATAAAAACACACTTTAGTAATCAACTAAAGTTAATAAAACTGACACGGTCTCGTGGCTATGCCACGACTGTACCTTCTTATCTCGTCACCTTCCGCTTTCAGGACAGACAGGATCTCCACCATGGAGCGACAGCTAGGCCAGGGCGACTCCGCGTCCAATCGTAAAACGGCCAAAGAAGAGGACGCCCGCCGACAAAAGACGGGATGCAAAGAGGATGGCGGCCTGGATGGAGAGGAAGGAGAGCAAGAGGAGGACACACAGAGGAGAGGGCGGCGGTAGCCAATAATTTCAGCTACAGCGCTCGCCATCGACCCACGCCACTGTCCAACTCCACGGTGCAACACCTGCCATCGGTCTGCTCCACAGTTCCGTGCCCACCATCGAGCCCAGAGGAGTACCCCACAATGTAGGACGCCCAACCAACGTCCACCACAAAGGAGCTCATGGGAGTGGAGGAAGAGGAAAGGGTCTTAAACGACTTGCCAATCCATCTACGGAGGGCGAGGACATCGACGAGGACCAGCCATTGTTCTACACATGTTCACTTCCCAACTCCTCTCCTCCATCTCCTGACCATAAGCTCTCACCCTGCACCCCTAACATTTCAGTCCTGGTCACTCAGGACTCCCCGACCTATACCCAGGATACAGGGTATAACCAACCGTACCCATCCTGGTACTCAGAATATTCCCCGACACTTACCCAAGACACCGGGTATAACTAACATTTCAGTCCTGGCCACTGAGGAATGCCCTACCTATACCCAGGACATCGGGTATAACCAATCGTTCCCGTCATGGCTACTCAGGACCGTCCCCAATACCCACTCCGACCACCGGGTACAACGACCATACAAACCCGTCCTGTCTTATTGGGATACTTATAAAAACGCCCTCCCCCCCAAGCATAGGACCAACCAGGACACCTGGAGAGGCCACCTGGACACGCAGCTCCGGTATTAGGTATTTAATATAACTGATAAATTATTAGTTTGCCAATAATGTTAATATGTCCTACAGTAATGAAAAGAGGGTAGACATGGTTGTATGTTTTACTGAAAGTGAAAAAAACTCGAGAGCAGCACAAGGTTAAATTAAATTCATAACAAAATTACGATTATTAAAATTACCTCATTACTAATATACATATTATATTAATTTTAAGGTTATATATAAACGGTCGTTAATATGGCCAACTCAACCGCTGTATTATCTTTAGTGTTAACCCCAACATATCTCTAAAAGCTGTATCAGGTACTTTACAAAAACAAAGGCTTAAATTTTATGATAATTATTTCATTGAATTAGGTTTATCCTATGGATCAGTGAACCGAATAGCTTAAGCTAATTAGTTTCACGCATATTTTTTGGCGTCTCTAGTCCAGAAACTTGAAAGCGGTGACGAATAAACGTCGTTTACAATTTGTCGCCAATATGATGGTTAGATTTTTACTTTTGGGGATATGTTAAAAATGAAGTACATAAAGAACCATTGGAAAACATACAACTCAAAAACAAAATAACTTATGTGTGTCGAAATATTCCTAAACAAATATTTTTAAAAATGCAACTTCTAGTAAAGGCTAATAAGCTATAACTATGTAATTTATATTTTACACCAAGAAGGCTTCAATTATTGCCGTGTTAAGCAAAATCGCAGTAACTCCCATTTTGTGATAATGTTAAAGGGGGGTTTATATAACAGCTTTGTACAATTTTTCGAAGTAAAAAAACGAAATTTCACGTTTAAACCGGTTTTACGTTTTTAAAAATAAATATAAATGCAGTAAGTTCACATCTATTACATTTTAGACACTAAAACGCAGTTAATCCAAATTAGAAGCAAAAAAACAGTAAATCCATGGATATCACAATTTTTATTTTTATTCAGTGGAGACACAGTGTTTTTTTAATATTCAAAATGCATCATCTCCATAAATTATAATGATTGACTAAACGTTTTTTTTTATAATAACTATTTAATTTGTTCAATTATTTTTCATAGTATTTTCCACTCATTTTGATATGAAAATATTAATTATCTATGATTGTATAATTAGTATTATTATGATAAGATCTTCGGACTACCATCTAGGTGAGGGCATACACCGATATAAAACCGTGGGTAGGCAGGCCCAATAGCCGACAAGGCAACTGCCAGCCGGTCGTGACCTTAACTGGTTGAGGTCGGCCAAGAGAACCAACCCGCCCTTCGCTCATAAGGCCTGCAAATATGCAGCGCAGCCACGAGGTAAGCCGTACCCTCGGATTCGGACGAATAAGTGGCGGCGACAATGGGATTATGTCGGAAGGACGGTCAGCTCCCGGCATCTTGGAAGACCAGACTCGGGATTGGAAAACGGAACACGGCCAGCTGGAGAGGCCTGGCAGTAGGATAAAAATTCACTTTAAAATATCACGATGAAGCACAACAAAATTAATAAAACAGATCCTGTGTGTTGAACAGTAATAGGTATGTTACTCTCGTTCATGGAATTTCTTAAACATGTCACAAAAAACGAATAGAACAGCCAACTGTAGTGCTGATGAAGACAGATGTATAATTAATTATATTCTTAACAAGAAAAAAAACAGAGACGCCATCGCCGTGTGTGCGTCATCAGCGAGCACATGCTCCCAAAATTTCAATACAAATTGTACTGTGGTGGATGCGACATAAATACACATAAGAAGCCCATTCACTAAGAATAATATGAACTAATTATAGTTTGAATACGACACACAATTGTTAATCCACGGCAGTGTTGGGAATGTTTAAACGGAACTCGTTCCGTTCCCCGTTCATTTCCTAAAATAAGAACTCGTTTCAGATCCTCGTTCCTTTTTCAAAAAAGCAACTCGTTCCAGATACAATTCCTCTACAAGAAGAACTCGTTCCTCTTTTCGTTCCTTTTTGCTAACCAAGATATTTAAGAAATTATTATTATTATTTTGAATTTTATTATAAGGTTAAAGTTATCTAGTGATTTTAAGATATCACGTTTTTCGTCAAATTATTTATTTAATATCAAAGAAGGCATTATATTATGTTACTCTTGTATCTGCTTGTAAATACTGACAAAGGACAGTGTTAAGGGATACCAAAATGAAGCTCAATCTGTCCGAGTCAAATTGATGCATTGATATTAATATCATTAATATCAGATGAATATATTAAATCATTTTAGATTTTAAATCTAGTTCAAAATTATAGGTATATCAATAAGTCGAAAATATGGGAAAATGAAAAATAAAATAGATAACTATTACCAAAATAAAAGTAAACATAATTTGTTTTATTAGAATTTAAATATACTAGCATCTATTCAAAAGGCATCAATCTATTATCTATATAATATGTTTTATAACTACATACTATAACATAATAATAAATATGAGTTATAAATATCAATTGCCAGTAGTGGTAATGAGATAATGAAAACGGTTAATAATAATCTTCATCAACAGTCGAAAACAAAACA